TAATAATAGTAAGAATTATTCATTTAATTCGATACATTAATTACAATATATCAAATATAAGAAGAAGAAAGAATAAAATAATAGAAAATGACAAAATAAAAATACATGAATTATAAAATAAAATAACAATTCAATGTAATATTTAAAATAAAGAAATAAAGAATAAAATAAAGAATAAATAAACATAAATTGGATGAAAGAAGATGTTTAGAAACAAACAGAACATAATGTCATAATAACATAAAGAAAAGAGTAGAAAAAAAAAACAAAAGATAATAATTGAATAAAGAAATAATAATAGAAATAGAAAAGAATAAAATATACAAAATAAATATATCAAAGTATAAAGTAATATTTAACGCAATTAATATAGATTTAAAAACAAAAATAGAAATAAATAAATGAAAGTATAAATGAAGAATTAATACAAATGAAATAATACAAAAAGAATTACTAAATAATAAACCCACCTTTAGTCAAAAACAAAATAACTATGTTTGGTATATGAAATACATTATTTGATTATGATGTATCTATTGTTTTTGTTTATTTATTAATTCATTATTTATTTAACAAACTATTTCAAATTCACTTCAGTTATTCTTCTATTTCTTCCTTTTCTCCTGTAATTTCTTTCTTATTTTTTATTCTTATAGTTTTATATTTTATTCATTTGTATATTATCTTTATTATCTTCTTTCCTTTTATTTTTCTTTGATAGTTTCTGTAACTCTTTATATTTTCTTTTTGTTTTGTATATCTTCCAATTCTATATTATCTTTTTCTTTATCTATTTATTGGTTATTTTAAATTATTTATTCATATTCTCCTTGTATAAATCACTCACTAATTCATTATTTTTATTTTCATTTCATTCTCTGCTATTATTCTCTGTTATTCATTGATACTATATTGTTTTCATTGATTTATTAATGTTTTTCTTATCATTTTTCATTTCATCTTTTTTTTAATTTACTTTTTCATTGAATTTCTTTTGCCATTCATAATATGTAATTTAATAAATTGACATTCACTCTCTTGTATGTTTCTTGAATCTCTATGTTTTGCTTTATTTTTCTTTGAAAAAAACCAAGGAGTTTCTCAACAATAACGATAATGTTATTTGATATTCTTTGAATTAAAAAAATGCTAAGTAATAAATTGTATATTATAAGTGAACTTATTTTGACTATTATTCTTTTTATTTTATTTTATTTTTGTTGTGTTTGTTTATTATAAATACTTTTGGTTATAGTACAATTAGAGGTATTAATAAAATATTTTGTTTCTAATTCCATTCTTGACTCTGTTTTTATCTTCTTTCATTTTTCCTAATTTTAAATTGCAAAGAATACACATAAAAGAAAATAATTTGTTAAAGAAAAAATATCTACAATAAAAACTAAAATAATGAAGGAAGTATACAAAAAATAACAGTCAATTAGATATTGATAGAACTGACCTTTCTTTCTCCTTGCCTTTGTGAAATAACTCCCATTTTATCACTTTAAAAAATAGAACAACCGAAGTAAAGAGGAAATAATACTCTTTTAGAATATCTTTTTGATATATCTCCGTTGAAAATTTTAAAGTTATTTATAATGTTGTTTTTTATTACAAAAACAAGTTTAATAACAAAACTAATAATTGTTTTTCAATTATTTTTTTTTAAACACAAAAATTTGAATAATAAAAACAATAAATAATAAAAGAACTAATTAAAAAAGTTAATGGACGAATTACTATATTTAATTGTCACACTTATAGTAATTCATCATTTATCATCAAAAATCAAACTGTATTATATTAGGCTTAATAGTAATTTTATTTCAAAAATATCAATGAAGTATAATAACTTATTCCTTGTACCATTTTGTGGTTTAATGATTATGTTAGTAATATATTACTTTCCATCACTTTCTGAAGGTTTAGTATTTATAATAGTTTACACGTTAATGTCAATTTGTTTATATTTAACTATTCAGCCAATAGTCAACAGTCTTCCATTACACTCTTTTATTATTAAAAATGGTGCTTCAATTACAATAACCCTTATAATTGTTTTGATTTATATTAATAATCCAAATTGGTGGTTAACAAATATTATTGCGATATGTATTACTATTTCAATTCAAACATTATTATCTTTTGATAAAGTTCATATTCCATTAGTATTGGTGATAGGACTATTTGTCTATGATTTAATAAGAATTTTTAGAAATTGTTATATTCCATTTTATGACGGTCAGTCAGTTTTAAAAGGATTATCAAAAAACTCTACCGCATATCGAATACCGTTATACCTTGAATTTTATAGTATGTTTAGTGCAGGTCATTTTATTATTGGATTAGGTGATATTATTTTTCCAGGAATGTTCATTACATATTTATACTGTACCGACTTCTTATTTAAAACTCATTACTTTCTAGTTGGTGTAATTGGATATTGTTTTGGAATGATTGGAACAATATTATTGATATGGAATTATCAAATGGGCATACCTGTGTTATTGTGCATTGTTCCAGCAATGATTATTCTATCACTCATTTATTCAGTCATAACTAAAACATTAAAGAATATACTTAATCTTTCATTGCAAAAGAGATTTGAATTACCATCTCAAAAATTAAAAGAATGTGCTAGTACAACAGAAGAACTAACTATTCAAATAAATCAGTAACTATTTTACTTTCATTTTATTTTTATAAAAATTATTATAGAAATAACTAAGTATTAATAAATACTAATTAATTCATTTGTTCTTCAAGTATTTTAGAAGAATATAACCTCTTTTGGAAATGTTTTGCTTCATTTGCACAATATGGTAATTTTCCAGTAGACATTTTTCCTTGAGATAAATGACAATTATCAAATGTAAATTGAATGATTTCTCTTAATGTTAAACCAGTATTATCATATAGTACAACATATTTCAATGTTTTACAAATTTCAGGTTTAGCATTTAAAATAAATCCTTTAACATTTTTATTAACAAGTGGACTAATAACAAAAGTACCTTCTTTTGTACTTTTTAATTCTCCATTTTCTTCTATTGCAATAGCAGAAGATATATTATCTGTTGTAATAAAACATACCTTAATTTCTTCCCCACAACTTTGTTTACAAATTTTTAAAAATTGTTCAACTTCTCCAAATCTAATTGCCTTCATTAAATTATCAGAAATACCACATCTATAAACAAATATTCTTTTTAACTTTCTTCCTTCTAATTTTGGTTTCAATATCTGTTCTAAACCAAATCCACTGTGCCAATTATCATTAGATACAAAATATGATTCTGTATCAAACACATTCAAATTTTCATCTTTTGAAATACAAAGAGTAATTAAAGTTTTATTAACGAAAAATTCACGTGAAGTTATTCCAATAACACAAATGTCAGAAGTATTTTGGTCTAATTTCAGTCTAGAACATCCTAATTTTATTCCAGTTCTTAAACAAAGATTTGTTATTTTTTTATCATCATATCTCTCATTTAAATCAATTATTTGTGTTGGAATATTCCCATATATCATAAAATATTCTTTAATTTCTACCATTTGTTCAATAGAATCAAATACTGAAAAAACAATTTGAGGATGACTATTAAGAATACTTGAAAATGTTTTTTTTGGTGATTCTCTTGATGACTGTGAAACAATTTTTGGTTCTCTACATGTTACTCCAAGTTGTTTAAATTTAGTAATCATTAAACTAATTATTTGTTTAACTTTTGGAACCAATGAACTCTTACAATACACAAACCAATTTGTTAATGGTACAACTTTAATAAAACTATCAATAAATTCCCAATTTTCATCAGCCTCAAAACTTCCTTGACTTGTAAGTAATTTAGTTTTATGACATAAATGAGCTTTACAACAAAGAACATCATCTTCAATACTCAACCCCCATGCTTCTGCAACAGGTGATTCTTTTATAGTTTTTAATGCCTTAGAAACAACTTCTAATGTTTCTTGAAGAGGTTGAAGCTGTTTTACTCTAATAACTCTATGCATTAATTGAGGGACATAATAAGCATATTCTATTCTTCCAAACTTTCTTTGTTTTTGAACCATAAGAAATTGATTTGGATCAAAATGAACTGCTCCTCCATACCGTTGAGTATAATATTGTGAAACAGAAACTTCCTGATCTCCCCAAAAAAATTTTTGAGAGTCTGGCGTTACATTCATTTTGACCTCATCAATCCATTCTAGTTGTTTTGACACTTCATTATAATACCATGATGGTCTGAATTTAATTGAAATTTCATCATAAGAATATTCTTTTGATTCTTCTAAATAATTTTGTTCAATAACCTTTCTATCTGTAACAGGAAAATGGACATAAAAATTATCTTTCATTCCATTAACATAAACATCAAATGATTGATGGATATTATTATTTTCACTAGTTTTTAATTTATAACAGAAAATATGTTTTTTTTGATATTGATACTCTGATGTTCTGTATAAAGATGATTTTATTATATCAGCAGCACGAAAAACATCAAGAGAACTCTTTACTGGTGTAAAGGTAATTGTAAAAGAAATGTCATCAACATCAACTTCTGCTTCTTCTTCAATAGGCTCATTAAGATAAATATTATTATGATACACATAAAATAATTTTCCTCTAAAATAATCAAAAATGATATTTCTTGCTTCTTGATAAGACTGAAGTTCTGGCTGAAATGAGAATTGGTAGGAATAGTAATTAGATGAGTCATTACTAATTTTATGGAATAGCGTTGTTACTTCAAATGAATCGGAATCATCTACATCTTCATATTGTGGAATTAAGTCAGTAAATTCTTTTGGATAAGGATCATCCCAACATAAGTCAACACTTAATGAAGGAGAATATTCAGAACAAAAGTCTCTTAATACTCCAACTTGTTTCATTTAATTTAATAATACTAAGTTTTCTTAAATAAACCCCATTTTGATTAGTATAACAAAAATTATTATAAAATTAAAAGAAAAGAAGAAACTATCTATTAAAGATCCTCCTTTGGACTATTGTGTTTATTTAAATTATCAAAATCTTCATCTTTCATCTTCTTCAAATCGTCAAGAACAATACCCCTTCTTTCTGCTAAGTACTTTTTAACCTCTTCATCCTCAAAGAATTTGTCTTCTTTAATTGCTCTAAGAAAATCACCAGCTTGTTCTTGGGCTGTTTTAGCAATCCATGTTATTAAATCATTTTCAAGTGATTTTTCAATCTCTGTTTCTGATTTCATGTTATTCATTAAACGTGAAACTGCGAGATCAACAATACGTTCTCCAAAAATAACGTATGGTGATTGTATAGTTAATTGATATAATTTATAACTAGAAATTGGTACTTTGTTAAGAACTGTGATAGCAACTTTTTCAAATATTTCTTCAAAAGCATCTTGAAGTAATTCACAATCATTTTCATTCTTTTGATTTTCCATACACCTTAAGTTTAATATTTTTCCCCACTCGATCCATGGATCTTGGGCAATAGTAAATTGAACCAAAAAGAGGGATGCTAAAACAAAAAACATCTTTTAAATATTTATAGTTTTTTCAATTTCTAAATGTTGGGATTTGAGATAATTCAATCCATTCTTCTTGGGTTGTATTACTTGTTTTTTGTGTTGAATGAGATGATACAGATATAGTCTCATCATCATCGTCAATAACAATTGGCTCCATGTCATCATCAATAACATATATTTCTTTTACTCTTTGAAATTGAGTAACCATACCTTTCAATTCTTCTACTATCCCTTGAACCTCTGTTACTGTTTTTGTAGTGTTTTGATTCCCATTCCATTGTATTTTTTTTGTTAGTTCAAAAGATTTTTCAGAAATAAAAGAATTCATCATTTTTGATTGTTGAATCATTGTATTTTTTATTACTTCAAGACTGTCACCTGTCTCTTCCATTTTTCTATCTATTTCTTGTATTTCATTATTACATTGGTTAAGATACTCTTGAAGTAATTGTATATCTTGAATATTTTTTTCCATCAAAACTATTCTTTCTAAAATTATTGGTCAATTTATTCTTATTTCCTTTCATTTAGAATTTGACATCTGAAAAGTATTTGATAATCATAATAAATAAAGAAAAAAAAGAAATAAAAAACCATAATTTTAAATTGAAGCAAAAATTAAATGACAGATGAAATCCCATTTATTGTAGAAATACTTTTGTTTAATATGAAAAATTTGGACAATAAGTTTTAATTCTCTCCTTTAGCCCTCCTTGCAGCCCGTTCTTTTTCTCTAGCCTCTCGAGCTTCTCTACGAGCCCTTCTCTCCTCTGGAGTTGATGGAGTTCTTTCAGGTTTCTCAAGAGTACTAGACCGATCTCTTGTAGAGTGATGTCGATGGCCATCATCACTTCCAAGAGATGTTTTACTTCTGTCTCTATGATGATGGACTGTTGTACTAGAATCTTCTTCTTCATCAACTAAAGTTTCGCTGGATTTATGTTTGTTAATAAGATCTTCAGCGTCTTTGCTAGCTAATGCAAGTTCTGCACTAGTAGAAGTAAGGGCGCTATCATCATATAACATTTCCCGTTCTTTCTTTTTTGCTGCTCTACGAGCAGCACGTTTTTGTTCTCGTTCTTTATCTTTTTCTGATTTTTCTTTATCTTTTAACTCTTCAATTTCCCTTTGTGCATCTTTCTCTTTTGACAATAAGTCTTTACGTTGTTCTTTAGCCTTTCTTAATTGTTTTTGAGCAGCATCAACTTTATCCTTTTCTTTCTTTGTATCTTCTTCTAAATCCTTTAATGAATTTTCAGCTTTAGTTAACTCATCTCTCTTAGAATCGATTTGACTTTGTGCATCATTGGCTTTAGCCTTAGCTTGTTCTACCATTTCGTTCTTTCTTTTCTTAACAATTTCATACCGTTCTTGCATTTTGGCTAATCTTTCTGCAGCAGCCTTTTCTGCATCTTCTTGCATTTGTTGATATGACTGTTGTTTTAATGCAGCTTCATCTCTAAGAGCAGCAGTACTTTTCTTTTTACTTTCAGTATCTCTTGCAAGTTGTCTTTGTCTTTTCATAATCTTATTCATTTCAGCTTCAAGCTCTTCGACTTGTTCTTGTGTCATTTTAAGTAATCCCTCTTCATATTCTTTATTTGAAACTTCTCTGGTTAATTCAGCTTCTGCTCTTTTCTTTCTTTTCTTTTCTTCTTCTACTTCAGCAGAAGACTTTTTAGCTTTTTCTGTAGCAGCGTCTTTTTTAGCTTTTGCTTTTTTGAAATGTTCTTCCATTTTTTCTAAATTCTTTTCTAAATTTTCTTTTTGTTTTTGTTCTTCTCTAATACTACCATCTAAAACGTTTAAGTCATAAGTGTATTGTGAATGAATATCTTTTAGTTGATTGTTTTTAGCTGTTTCATCATCCAAATTTAATGTAAGTTCTTCTGTCATTTGAGTCCATTTACGTAAACTATTTTCAAGTCTTGCCATTGTCTTTTTATGATTTTCTTTTAACTCTTCAGTATCTCTAAGTAATTTTTCTCTCTTATCAGCTAATTCTTTTTGTTTTCTTTCTTCTTCTTGCATTTTCAGTTTTAATTCTTGAAGCTCTTTTTGTGTTTCTTCTCTAATTCTCTTTAAATTTTCATTTTCTTTTTTTGCTTCTTCTAATTGAAGTCTCAATTTTCTTCTTTCAGGAGTTTCTTCACTTGTTTTCTTTAATAATGCCTCATATTCTTCTTGCATTTTTTTCATTTTAGCTTCATGTTCTTTTTGTCTTTGTTCAATTTCAATTTCTCTTCTTTTCTTTGCCATTTCTTGTTCTTGAATTTCTTTTGTTATTCTTTCTGAAGAAGAAGTTTGGTTCATAATGTCTTTCATTAACGCTTCTTTTTCCTTAAGCTCTTTATCTAATTGTTCTTTTTGACGTTGAACGTCATCTTGTTTTTGTTTAACATCTTGAGCACGAGCAACAGCATCTCCTAATACATCGTCTTGTGCCAATTTTTTTAAATCAATAGACCCATCAAGGATTTTATTTGCATCTAATAAATTAGCCTTAATGTTTTATATATTTTTTTCTTATTATTTTTTATAAACTATTCAAAATTAAACAAACCAGTTGAATCAATCATTGCACGATCCCTATTTCTTTGAATTGTACGGATCATTACAATATACGTTTGAATCGTTTCTGAATCAACATTTTTTTCCATAAATTTCTCTTGTGGAATACGTGCATTTCCTTCAATAAATAATTTCTTTTCTTCACATTGTTTATATATGTAACTTTTAATTGTACGAGATGTCTCAGTAGCATATTTATCGAATGTCTTTTGGTCTTTGTCTAATGAACAAAGAAGAGCTAAAAATGCTTTACCATCGACAAAACTATCATTACTTATTATATTGATATTGAATTTCTTTACTGTTTTCTTTGCCCAATTAAAGTAATCGTCCATTCGTTTTGGAGAGTTGAATTGAAACCCAAGTTTTAAGTTCACCGTTTTTGATTGGTTTGAATCTCAAATTCTATTTTTGGTACGGGGGTATTTTAAGAAAGGGTTTTTAGGAAAAGGGTTTTTCGTTTGGGATGAAAAGAGGGAGTAAAAAAAAAACCATAAGATATAGTTTTTTGCTAATAATTATATTAATTCGTTTTTGAGTGTAAAAAATGGTTAAAATTTTGAGATTTGTTTCATATTTTTGTTTTATTATTCATTTCTTTTCTAACAATTAAGTATTAAAATTGGAACAAAATCCTTTTTTTATTAAGATTAAATAAGATAGAATAGTGAAAGGAAAGAATG